CATCTGCCTCTTCGACGACTTCCACTTCGAGCACTTCCGAGAAAGCCGTGCTGTGAAAATTGACTTTGGGGCCGGAGGGGAAATTGGTGAATTGGGAGGAATTGGGAGGCACTCGAGAGATCTCGAGAGCTGGTTTGGCGGGGCCGTGAGGCCGGTGCATGGACCGTGGCCGTAAATCACAAAAGAGATGTTGGAACAGGTGCATGTCCATGGCTTCGTCGGACAGCCGTTGCTCTCGAGATGGTCTACGCCTTGTCAGCAGAACTGTCCACTTTACCTTCCAAACAGTCTGTGACGGGCCCAATCTGAATGTGGGACATGATGTGCGCGTGAAAGATGACTTAATCAAGCTGACTGCGTCAAAATTGCGACGGTAGCTGGTGCAAGCGTCCGCACTTCCAAGGAGAATGGCGAACCCACCATGGTCGACCACCAGCGGGGTCGCGCCACTCGCTGGACGATCATGTTGTAAAGAAGCTACGGTGAATCTTTGTCTTTGTTGCTGCGGCACTCGGTTCGTCATATGTACATTTGAGTGGCCAGACCACCACTCGATGCAGCGACACATGCAGCAACTACAGCAAATATTGAAAATTAGTTGCCTCCGTGCATGAAACTCCCGCAGTTCTGTTTCGCCCTCATGCTCCACCTAGAAATCTGGCAGGCGATCACGTTGCCAATCCTGTCCAAATGCAACAGCGAGAGACTCTGAACCAAACTGATAGGGCTAACAGCAAGTCCTGAATCAGCTGCTGGAAGGAACCTCGATCCAGGCTAGCTTGCAGTGCCTCAATGCAGGTGGGCCCGCAGCCCAGACCCCTTAGGCAACGAACAAATCCATGCAGACCGGCGTGACCATTCCTGACCTTGGCAGATGCAGGGCACGAAAACGCTCGCGAAATTCCCCACGCCTGTCGTGGCAGGACATCTTCTTCAGCACCGCCAAAAACGCAGGGGAACCCCCAGCCTTCTTTGGTTCGCTTTGCTGGAACCAGGAGCCACAGGCAGTCCCCGTCGCCCGCTCAATGATACCAGTGTGATGAGACTGGGCTATACTGCTACACACAGACCCGGCGCGAAGGAGAGCTGGGTGCCCTCGCAACACCCCTACAGCAACACTTGATCCCGGACGTTGCCACAAGATAAACATGCCATGGCCGAAACGTGGCTCAGACCAACTTTATCGGCGGACACCCGTTGCGACACTTCTGTGATCAGGTCCTCTGCAAGTGGAGCACAAAGGTACACAAAGGTTACATCTGAGGCAGGGTGCTCCTGTGTTGCTGAACCGACCATACCTGCCTGCACGCTGCCTGTCTCATCCCTTTTTCTCTTTCTGTGCTGATCCGGGGGAGCGAGTTGTAGAGACATGGTGCGACCCCGACAGCAAATTGCCACAAAGCAACAAGCCTCCTACGTAAGGGAGCGTGTAAAATGGTTACTTTCTTTCCGAAGCCCCAAGCTGCAGAGAGCTGCTCTCGTACATGCCTGCGACTTGAGGCGCCAACGGCCGTGGAGCAGATGCAGGACTTGCTGCTGGTTCCATGGAGGCCTTGCGCAAAGTTGTGGATGTTGAAATACGGAGTACAAATCGCGGCAGTTAAGGCGTCCACTAGCTTATGCAGGAGGTACATGCCACTCCAAGCAAGCTTGAGCCCGCCACATTTGTGGGACTGCACTCAAGCCTGCAACAACAACCCACGTGCTGTACGCCAGTCCACCAGCAATTCCTTGTGCACATTCGTGCACCATCAAGGGTTTCCCAAACCACAAGACAAGACGACCTGCCACGACAGCTGCCGAATATTCACTTGGAAACATCTCCTAGGCAGTTGCATTTGATCAACACGACTACGGTGCTTGAGGTCGCAAAATATCAGGGTCTGGCCGCAGAAAAGAACATGAATTCCGCAACGTCCATAACTCCACCGTCCTGCTGGTTCGGCAGGCAATTTAAAACGATGTTTCCTGAAGGAACCAAGCTTCCAACCCAGCGTGTCAATGAGTCCTCACTTCATGGACGGAGCTCACGCTCTCCTACGTTCAATGCAGGAAGACCTGAGCTGGCCTGCACTGCTAAGGCCTGAAAAATCGCCGCGTAAATCGACGGCAAGGCCTGGAATGTATACGATGCAACGTGGCAAAGCACATGGCGATGGGCAGAACTCTTGCTTGTAACGTTGTTTTGCTTACTTGTGTCTTTCCGGGCTTATCCTCCAGAATCCTTAGTTGTTCCCGCTTCTCTGGCTTCAAACATGCCTGATCCCTCGAAGAGCTAGCACAAACTTGTTTGATCTTGCTGGGCTCTTCGGCTATACGGTTTACTCTGCCAACCCACTTCGGCTGGGGGTACCACGGTCACTTGTGACATCTTGTGACGCACGGATTGCATGGCAAACGCTTACCCGTGAGTCGCGGTCGCTTGCGTCCCCCACTGCTGCCGTTGCATCGGCCCGTACCGGCCGTTTATAACGACATGGCACCTACTCACAGTTCCTCAAAACCCGACCCCTGGTCACAGTTCTTCAACACCTGACCCCTCCTTAAGCCGATGGCGCCTACTCCCGTTTCCTCACATCGGCCCGGAAACAGCGAGCTGAGAGGAACACATCAGCAGTGAAATCAGATGCAACTAAGCCAGACATTCACAACTAACCTAGCTACCCATAGCGACAATCCCAACGACACATGGATACCTGCAAGATCGAGCAGGCAGTGTTGTGTTCCTCCCGGCCATCCTGATCCGGGTGGCGACAAGCTTTGGCCAAGCTGCCAGGCTCCACAGAAGCTGAGCGACACACGCGAGGCAGAAGAAGGTTCAACCAACGAACCATTCTCTCTTCAGCATGGACTCGGCCCACTACACAATGCCAATATGCACTCGAATCCCAATATAGGCAGATTGATTCTGCACAGTTATACATCGAACACGCGCTTCCTTGTGTTGATTCTCGGGGCATGGCCAGGCACGGCACTGCAGAACACGCCGATCAACTGATCCACAGTCCTTGGCCAGCATTCGTACCCGAAGTCACCGAACTTAGGCAGGTCCTTGCGTCACGCTGGCTCGAATCGAGTAAGAGTAAGAGAGCTGCGTGTAGTTGTCCAGCAAGTTTGGGCGCAGCAAACCTTGACAAGAGCCGCGCTGTTGCACAACTGCCCTCAACTTCCTGCATCGACGCAGCTCCAGAGCCCTTGAAGCCAGTACCGCACCTGCCGCGGCCTTTCCTGCTGCAAGACCGCGTGACCAAAGCGCGAAAAGTGCCTGCTCCGCGTGTCGCTAAGGCCCGTGGGGAAGCTGCGATGGCATGATGGCTTGGTTCCAGAGCTGGCCATGTTTGAACTTTCTTTGTGGCGGTTTCGGCCGCCTAGAACAGACCATTGACAGGTGATGATAGACTGCCGCATTCAGTACAGTATCCTGCCGCTACCGGTACGATGCTTGTTCCAGGATGCTGCTGTCCATGAGGTGTGCTGCCAGCACAAGTTTCAAGTCACAGACCTCATACTGGCGAGGAAGGGACATGCCAGAAGTGCTCTACCTGTTGGTTGGCAAGCACTCGTCAGCATCTCTTATAAGGCTTCTCGGTTAAGTTAAGCAGCATCGCCTTCAACACTGCCGGGTTCTGAAGGCTGTCTGGCTGACTCAGAAGCGCCTCCGTGTGGAAACATCACGTGACGCGCGACGGTATGGACAAGGTAGCAGGTGGCACGTAAAAATGCAATGAAACTGCAGACCTGTGCATTTTCTTGCGGTTCTTCCTGCCTCTGTCGCTTGGCGCACTGCAGCTGCAACGGCTCGGGCTGTCAAGGCCGGCTCAAGCGGAGGGCTGGGCCTAGTGAGAAACTGCTTTGCGATGCTTTGCGAATCGTAGATCGTGACGTCGCGCGCCTCGCTCAAGCGCGCAGCTGAGTGGACGGCAGGCGCTGCATCACAGATTCCATCGCAGCGAGGCAGATCTGACAGTGTGAAAGCTTCTCTTTATGCCGCTGCAGGGGAAAAGCGTCCGAATACAACTGGACCCTCAAGACATGGCTATGCGCCGCATGTGGCAGAACCGACCACCCTTCGTTTTTCGCCTCTTTGCCCTGATACCAAACCAACTGCTCCCCCTGCTGCACCCACATGCTCCTCGGATCCGGATTTGTGGCGTCGAGCGGCACCCACGGCAAGCAGCTGAATAGCCTGTCGTTGTCGTGGTACACTTAGACATACGGTATACACAACCATGACTCGGAGACCATGGCCTCTTGGAAAAGCTCAGGAACGGCGCAGGCCTGCAACATTTGCAGATCCATGCGCAGCTATGTGCTGTCGGCCTCACTGTCTCGAACTCAGGGTCGCGACTCGTCATTGAAAGATACCGCACGCATCCATCAGTCACAGTCGCGAGCCGAGACCCAGACAGTCGCCAATGCCTCCAACAACAACAACAACGACGACGACGACGACACTGACGAAGGTACAATTCGCAAGCCGTTTTCTGCATTCCGCATGCAAGCTACATGCACAGCAATCTCATAGGTACTTCCCCCCATTGCTCCCCGTTCTGAAAGGACGTGGCCGTTCAAGCATGGTGAGACTACTACAGATTACTACAGTTCACAGTCCCTTCAGTTCTTGCCCTCAGCATTTTGCCGAGTCTAGACCTGCTTCAGCTCCAGATGGGCCACGATTACCTTGTGTTACCTTCATTCTGGACAGTTGGACCTTTACAGCATGCCGGGGGTCCGCAATAAGTTCCAATAAGTTCCATGCTTCCGCGCCAGCTCACGCATTCGGCATGGAGACACATTGGAGACCCAGCCCTTCACATCAGATGAGGGCCTCTAAAACAAGGGGACACATCCAAAAAATGGCTGCCGGAGCATGTCCCCTGCCAAGATTGCCTCGGCTGCGGCATCGAGCGGCTGCTCCCGTCCATCAGATTCCTCGGTTAACCCCGGTTCACAGGACCTTGCCAACATGAGCTGCGTCAAGGTCAGGATAGGCTCGCTGCGATATGACATGGCTGATGAAGAAGCGCATTTTCCTGGCACCAATGAGCATGCCGCCGACAATGTTTCTCAGCACATCGACCGACTGAAGCGGAGGCACGGCTAAAGCCACTGTCGCTGCAGGCTAAATGGCTGAGCAGATGTCCAGCAAGCACCGACCATCAGCCAGCTTTTGCTTGCGAATGTTTTCAGCTTCTAAGTTTTCTAGAGTCGGCAGAGTCAGACTCACAGCATGCCGACACCAAGCCATTGCTTCGCAACGTGCTGCATGTCGAAAGCTATTTAGTGGGACAAAACATCCGAGTGGTATGCTACAGACAGCGCTCTTTTGCCACTGACTGCCGGGTCTTTGACATCTTTGATCACATGTAGGCGCCAGATCCGACAGAAAAATAGGCCAGATAGGCGTCCCGAAGAGCTTGCAAAGTCCAGCAAAGTCACTTGGCTTGCTGGCCTGACCAGAGAAGGAGCAGGAACTCGGTGCCTGGGATAGGATCTGGGCCACGCTGTGCTGTGCTGAAGGGAGCAGGAAGGGAGCCCTGGCCCAAGCTGAGACTGGAGCAATCCACATGAGCAGAATCAGAGAAGGAGTCCACCATAAACTTCTGCACTTCCCGTATCTCCAGACTTGGGTCCAACTCACGAAGAAGACTGACCATAGAGTCTCGTGGCAGCTGCCCCGAAGGTATGCACCTTCCTCGGTTCAAACCGGGTCTTTGCCGCTGTCGCAGTGAGCTCGCATGATTTGCCCATAAGAAAGACAAGACGCGAAAGACTTGCAGGATGGGATGCGGGATCATGCTGAGCTGGGCCTTCTGGACTTCCTCCTGAGCTCTGCTCTGCTCTGCTCTGCTCGGCTCTGCTCTGAGGCTCACGAGCAGCTCCCTGCCGACAAACACGGAGCATGACAGGGCAGTGACAGGGCGGGACGTGACGAGGCGCGGCAACAGTGGCAGCCGCCCCTTCGACGGTTCGCCGCAATGGCAGAAGCTGCTCTGCACCGCATCCGAAGGTTGCCATCACCTTCTCCCAGTAACAACCCAACTACAAGTAGTCCCTGGTGTCAGATTTTGCAGCACGCAATTACGCGAGATAATGCGAGGCTCCATTCCACCATCCTGCGTTACATCACAGGCCTTGTTCATGGCTTCATCCAAGGATCTCTGAAGAGACCTGCTGCACCAGCACCAAGCAAACCTTCGGAAGGCCTGATCAGGTCACAGGATGACAATCCCAAACGGAGAAGAAGCGAGCGCCGATGACCTGTTGCAGGCCCATCTTCAAAGCGCTGGCATGGACTTGAAACTTGTCCTGGAAATTGACCTGCGGAGCTGATGCCCTGAATATCCGCAAGAGATCCGTTCTCAAAGACGACACCAACACTGATTGGCCTGGACGGCTTTCTGTACTCGATGTAGACACGGACTCTCTCGCCACTCCGTCTCAGAAGCCAGGACAACCCTCAGCAGGCATTGCAGCTGCTCCACATACCGCTCCAGCCCACTTGCTGCACTGATGCCACGAACCTGCAGCTGCAAACAACAAGAAAAAGGTGTTTCAGGTTCACATCGGCCACGTTGCCAGTATTGTCACTGTGTTTCCGCAGAGCACAGAGCCAACGACATCAAACCTCTCCGGGGAGCCGCTTGGTCAATACCCACCACGCGTGGCCCTGTGGCAGGGCACATTTCCACCATGAGGTTCCTCGGTCAAACGGATTCTGGGCAATTAATCCAGCATGCGATATCCTATTATCTGCCCGATTCTCATAGTGCCTTGGCAGCATGCAGGAACATGCAGCCATGAAGCTTAAGGTTCCCGCTGTTGTTCCAGATGATGGGCAGGCGGTCCAAATTGTTGATCAAGCAATCGAATCTGGGATATGTGTTCAGCTCAAAGCCCGGGAGAAAGTTGGAGCCAAGGTTAAGGCTAGAAAAAATTCATGCTGGGATTCCTATGCTTTACGGTCAGGGTATCAGATTATCAGGATCGTGTTCCAACTTTCTGACTGCTCATTACATTCCTAGCTACTGCGTCTTGCACTCTGGCGTCCGGCATGTTGAAGACTGTTGCCTGCTGATGTTTGCCACATGCATAACACTTGCAGAAGGACCTGTGGCAGCTGCGCCGTACCTAATGTAGCCTGGCAGCGCGATCAGGATGCCGGCTTCAGTCCAAAAGCGAACCAATGCTCCAGATCCCTCCTCGAACATTTTCACGAACTCCTTCGCTCTGCGTGCAAGTGGAGAGAAACAAGGAAGTCAGTGAAGCACGCATGTGGAATGTGTGAAGCATCTGAAATGGCGCGAAAGTCCTCACCCTCCATGATGGGACCGTTCACAAACTCCACGATACCCAAGTACCTGGCATCAGCCAGCAGCCGGTCCTTTGTTCAGCAGCACGGGATAGGAATCATGCAGTCATTGTTGACTCCCAAAAGCCAACTTCACGCTCAAACTGGTCGAGCTGCCCGGTAAACAGCATGGTCATCAATTGCTAAGCGGGCTTCTCCTCAGTGCCAGTCGGACGACATTTCAAGTCAGGTCAACTATGCTCTGGACTGCAACCGGGACACTTAATGCTTTGGCTATATCAGCTGAAAGCTGGATGACCTGCAGCGAGGCAGTCCGCACTTGCAGGGCGTCGGCCAGGATGCTGGCACACCTTGCAACGTTCGGGAACATGCAGGTACTTTGCAGGCAAGCCCTTGGGAAAGTAGCCAGACACTACACTGCTGCCCGAGGAACAGCTCAGCATGAGCATCCAGTCGCTGTGGTTTGAGGCAGCACAGCCGCGGCGGGGCCCCACGGAATCGTGCAAGTAAAACACCACCACTACCTCCACATAACACGAAGCAAGTTCAGAATGGGAGCATGGCGCCCAGCGGTAGTGCTACTTCCGTGCTTTAACACTCCCGCTGTCCTGACTCAAACTCGTTGTGCCTCCAGAGACATAGACGATACAGTCGACGGCGCTCCAGTCCAATTCGGGAATGGAGGTGCTGACTGCGTCGTCTCGCCACCTCCAGTTCAGAGTGCAGCGGGCCTTACATCACTCTCGCCAACATGCAGGAAACAAAAGTTGCAGGCCAAGCTGCTCCTGAACAATCTGAAAACTCAGAAGCCTGTGCAAGCGCTGCGAGGCCTGACAATTTTAAAGTCTGCCCGGCACAAGACGCAACAGGTTCCTCTGAAAGGCATCGCAATTGAAAGCATTCACCGGTGCTCACCGTAACTCTGTATTTTGTGCAAAGGAGTGGGAGAACTTCCAATCTCATCAAGGTTGGGATCGTAGTTGATCCAGGATCTGCCTTCTGCTTCTCGGACCACTTGATGGCCTCTGCAGGAGTGATAGATCACTTGGCGTATCTGTGTGAGAGAAACCCACCACATCCAGCAGCTGCAGTCTGCCTTCGGCTTGGCGATGGCAGGCGGTGGCGGTGGCGCACCAACTTTGGGCCGCGGCATGCCAGGTAGGGGCCATAAAGAGTTACAAGGCGCAAAAAGGCGCTTGCAATCTGTTGTGCGATTTTGTGCACTCCGTCGTCTGGCCCGGGAGGCTCAGAGAGTACAAAGAGATCCCTGTCGTGCGGTGGACGGTGGGCTTGGAACCGAGACTGTTACGGTTTGATAATGTTTGATACTGGCTTGGAGTGCCGCGACGTGAGCTGCCGTAGCTTTCGGCTCTTTCCTCTCAGTGGCCCCACATCATCACAACAAGGGCTGGAAGACCAAAACATCCCAGTAGTCCCGCCACAAGGAGATAGCAGGACTTGCATCACCTGTTCGCAAGTGTGCAGGGCCAATGTCACCAAGTGCCAAATACTATATATATATATACTCTGAGTTCTGCTCAGATCCTCGCCATGCGTCGGAAGGACGGCATGCAGAATAGCGAGCACCATGCGCCTGGATGGGTAATGACAGGTAGGAGGCAACACTCAAAAGCTTGGCCTGCCAACATCTGCAACATGCATGCTTAAGCTGGCAGCATGAAGAACAAGTTTTCCTGCACCTGGTGCAATGTGTCATCTTGTATTTGTCACTCGCAATCACACTAGTGGTGCTGATGCTGTCACGACGAAAACGACCGCGACAGCGGCAGGGCCAAAGACTACATGCGACGTTGCGCCACTGACAGAAGGCCCCTCCCCCTCCCCCGACCCGGCCACCCACCTACCACTCACCATCCTAACCATCATCATACTGCTCCTCTTCATCACGCATACCTGTACACATACCGTATTCCTCATCATGATCTTCATCTTACCATAGAAAACACCATCATGATGATCGTCATTTTATCACATCCGTCACCGTGATGAGAGTCGTACTGCTGTAACCAATACTGATGCTGCTACTTCTATTTCGCTTCTGGCCATTCCTCATGTGATCAAAGCAACCTGATGCCATAGTACACCCTACAGACACCATTCCAGCATCCGAACATGCAAGGCTGCAAAACACAGTTTTTGGCAGTGAAACCTTTTCTCCAACAATGATGACCTCGGCAATGGCATCTCCGAAAACTTTGCTGACTACGCGTTGCCGCCTGCGGCACAGTTACCAGAAAGCGAGCCAGAGATCCGAGCTTGCATGACATAGAAAACATGTGTCAAGATGACAACCTAGTCCCTAAATGCAAAAACACACGCGAACACCGTAACAACATCAAAACACTGTGTTTTACCAGGGAGACACTCTCTCCAGGAGAGAGTGCGCAGGAGTCCTGCGCGCTGTTGCCGGGCGGTC